TTTTGACTTAGCAATGGTGTGAATGCAAAAGGTAGTCAGCAGCAACTTTACTTTTAATTGTACACTTCGATCTTTTCTGGGGCTAGTAGCCCCTCAGTTATGAGTAGAAACGCGCTACTACGTGACCTGCGGTTCTGGATGAAAGCTAAATGAATGGTCTCGAAAACATACCAGGGGTGTTTGCTTTCTTGAGGGAGAACATGTACATAGGAATGGTTCCCTTAACTTTCAGACCAAACTTTTTATGATCGTCTAGTGTCTGTCACAGACCTTTATTTGGTAATGCTTTCATCTCACTGTCCTTTTTATTCCATCTGAGCTAGACTATAAATGGTTTCGAGAACAGAGACCTTATCTTCTACTTGTTATCGTACTTACAACTTCATTGCATCCTGTGTCGTGCTTTATGCAGGGGCCATTTAAACAATAATAGCTCTTTGACCAAATCCTGTTCCTGTAGATAAAGTCCTGAGAACATGGCCCTGGCCATTTGTTTGTTTTGTCCATAGCTTCTTCCATGGTATGATAACAGTAGCTGTGAGAAATACTGTATAGTTTTTAAAAGCTAAAATAATTTTCATCTCACCCTTTACAGAAAAAGTTTGCCATCTTTTTTTTGAAACACATGCATTACTGAATGGTTGTATACAATCATTTTGCCTCTAGAAAAATAAAATTTCTATGTTAGAAATTGTTTTTGTATGCACTCTTACTGTTGTGTTGTCAAAAAGGACTTTAATTTTCAACCACAAGTCTATTATATGAAGACATAATAAAGTTTCATGATAATGATTGAAAACAAAACTACTTCAGCAATGTTCAGAATCTGGCTTTCCCCTTTTCCATTACATCTCAGGCATTAGAATGAGTTAGGCTTACAGGACTTGGTGGCGCACACCTTTAATTCCAACACTGGGGAGGCAGAGTCAGGTGGATCTCTGTGAGTTCGAGGCCTGCCTGGTTGACAGAGCAAGTTCCAGGACAGCCAGGGCTACATAGTGAGACCCTGTCTCAAAGAAAACAAAACAAAAGAAGGAAGAAGGAGTTAGACTTCATATTACTCATGTGTCAAGGTCTACAATGAATCCCTGTACGTGCTGGAGTTCAATGGAAGTGCCTGGCGCACTGCAGTGGGCAGTGTGTTCTCACTGTTCCTGAGGACAACGTTTAGCAGATGAATCTCACACACTCAGTGCCATTTTTTTCTTTCTTTCACTCAACAGCTGCTGCTCTCCTGTTTCAGAGACAGCTCTCACCAAACCCAGGATACCCGAGTCAGTACCAGCTGTATGCAATGGAGAATACACGACAGACCATCCTAAATGATTACATTACCTCACAACAGATGCAAGTGAGCTTGCGTCCTGATGTCGCCAGAGGACTGTCCCCACGAGAGCAGCCACTGGGTCTCCCTTATCCAGCTACAAGAGGTATGTAGAATTCTTTTCACATTTGTGAGTAATTAGTAGATACCTGTTAAATGAGGATGGAAAGACATAAAAGAAGCTTATACTTGTTTCTATAGATTTTTGCCCTTGAAAGCAAGTAAAGTAATACTATGAGATGAGCTGTTACAGTGAACATTCAAGTAACTAAGTCATCTAATTGTAGAAGTGTTTAAAGGTCATGTTTTTTTTAATATGTCCATACCTGAGGTGACTTGTGTAGAGTTCAGTGCGTTCATAGCCTCCTTTAGGTTTAAAGAGGTCTGAGGAGCAATGATAATTTTTTAAACATTCTTATTTACATTGAATGCAAATTATCATTGTATTGTAAAGAGACAAAATGGAAAAACCATGTATGCTTCTGGAGTTAGGTGTCGATTTGCAGTAATGCCTAACATGAACTGTTTTTTCTTTTGGATAGGAATCATTGACTTGACCAATATGCCTCCAACAATTTTAGTGCCTCATGCTGGGGGAGCGAGCACTCCTCCCATGGACAGAATCACTTACATCCCCGGTACACAGATTAGCTTCCCTCCCAGGCCATACAATGCTGCCTCTTTGTCTCCAGGTGAGATGCTCCAAGCTAACATACCTGACTAGATGAAAAGGAAGCAAGGGTTCTAGAAAAATAAGTCAATGATTCTTCTAGGGAGAGCATATACATATGTAAAATAATGCCCTCTATTTCTCAGACAAAATTGTTTAAAATATATACATCTCTAACAAGACGAAGACACTTTAGTTTTTCTGGTATAGCTTGCAGAGGAATTCTGAGCATCTTTCTTCCATTCTGCTCTTCATTTAACCTATACCTGTAACTAGATACTCCACAGATACCCTAAACACTTAGATTATGCTCCATTTGCTATCTGAGACTCGACCATAAACTCCATACATCTGTATTTGAAGCTTGTTGTCTGTTGGTCATTTATAGATTTAATTTAACATGCTAGGCTGTCAGTTCTGTCTTGAAGTTGCAGATTCATGTTTTACAGGACACCCAGCACACCTTACCGCAGCTGCAAGTGCTGAGCGGGATCGAGAGCGCGAAAGGGAGAAGGAGCGGGAGCGTGAAAGGGAGCGTGAACGAGAACGTGAACGTGAACGTGAACGTGAACGCGAACGAGACCGAGAACGAGAACGGGAAAGGATGTCCGCTAATTCTTCTGATCTCTACCTACGACCTGGTCAGTGAGAAGCTTGGCTATTTCCGTAGGCAACAGGTCCTGGTGATTTCCTGTGAGGCATTATGCTTAATTATTCTATGCAGGCAAACAAAAATTATAAGATGGAAAGTCAGTATATGTAAAATAGAAGCCAGAAGGGGCTTTCCAGGACAAAAGTGTCAATTTGATTGGGCCCAAGCAACATGTTCTTCAGTTGCTCCTGGAAATACTGGGTATGAGGCTCTTGAAGACAGAAGAACAGCCCAAACTCCAGTTTAAAGGCGGAAGTAGAAAATCTGGTTAGAAGGAGATGTGGCATCTTGAATACAGTGCTTAGAGTGAAGCACTTTTTAGGAGGTCAGTCATGTGACCAGTGGCATGGGGTGTGTTAGAACCCTGGGCTGTTGAATGAATGGTCTCAGGAGTTCATGAATGAGCCAGTGGTGCCATCAAACATTCAGACACAGAATGGCCAGAAAGAAACCGCTGAGAGTAACACAGAAGCAGAATGAAGGGAGTTGACAATAACTTGTAGGCTAAAAAATAAGATTGAGCTGCAAATGAAAATACAGCTGAGCTCAACCTGATGGCGCATGCCTATAACCCAGTGTCTTTGTTGAGGTTTTATTGCTGTGAAGAGACACTAGGACCATGGCAATTCCTGTAAAGGAAAACAACCCATTTAACTGGGGCTGGCTTACAGGTCCATTGTCATCACGGCAGGCAGCATGCAGGCAGATGTGCTGGAGGAGGAGCTGAGAGCCCTCCATCCTGATCTGTAGGCAGCAGGCAGAGAGAAGAAACCTCAAAGCCACCCCTTGTGACACACTTCCTCCATCAAGGCCATAAGTACTCAAACAAAGCACACCTCCTAATTCCCTTTAAGTCTTTGGGGGCCATTTTCATTCAAACTACCACACCTAAGCGGAGGCAGGAGGACTGTACATTTGATATCAGCCTGGCATTCATAGCGAGATCCTGTCTCATAATACAGAAGAGTGGGAAGTGGGGGCGGGGGTGTTGGGGAGTGGCGTTTAGAGTGACAGGATGACAAATGGCAAGATCACAGTCAGGGAGAAGAAATAGTTTTATTTTGGATTCATTTAATCTTACAGGTATTTGAGCCATCTCTCTTTATCCCTGTTATATTTGTCTTTCTCGGTTATTTTAATCAAATAAGACCATTTATGGGGTCCATAAGTCAGATACACTGATGTGTGACACTCAAGACCACAGACTGAGCTACAGGATTTGAAGCCCTGGTCAAGAGGGTTCTGTGGACAGGTGCTAGAGAAGAGTCGTTCACTCTCTAGATGCCCTCCAGAGGGCAAAGTGGGTGTAGGCAGAAGGAAAGCAGAGGGAATGGTTGCACAGGGAGGCACAGCAATGAAGATACCATGGCAAGAGTGTCCAGTTCATATTTTAATGAGGGACAAACCCTTTGAAATCATTAGGAATGTCAGCAGGTGGAAGCTAATTATCACATTTGATCCAGTTGTATTATTCCTGATGACTTATGTGGTTTGCATTCAATGTGGTTGCAAACCTGAAATACATTTAAATAGTATTTATACAGTTAAATATTTAATATAAATATTATTTATGCAGTTAAATATTATTTATACTTAGGAAAATCACTAATAGTCTGATCCTTTAAAAAATGCCTGTAATGCATAAATTATGTGATAATACCATAATGTTGAGTTCATGTAAATTATATAAAACATGAAAAATTAAAGTAAAATTCAAACGATACAGAATTTTGGTAGGAGCTAGGTCTTAAACACATGTTGCTCTCATTGATTTGCAAAGCGACAGGTAAAAACATCAAAGTACTATTTTCTCATTAGATACTGAATTGACCTTTTCCATGTAGCAGCTTCACAGACATAGACACTGATATATAACAGATGCCATGTAAATGGGGTCACTCTTGTGCATTGAAAAATATAAAGATTAATTGATTAGCAGTTCCACTTCTAGGAACCGGTCCTGTAGAAATACTGATATATGCCAAAGTGTATTCAGAAGGGAGGAAACTGTCACAGAGTCTGGCTGAAGTGGTCCTGGCTGTGGGGATAAGTCTGGCTAAACTGTCTAGCTCTTACACAGGCAAAGAATGAGGCAGACGGGTGGAGGGAAGACACAGTACAGGCAAAGTAGAGAAGAAATTGATCAGGGAATGAGTTAGAGTCTCCCAGCTCTGCTAGGAGAGAGTTAAAGCTGAATAAAACTCTCCAAGCTTGAAGAAGGGTAGCTACAGAAGACAAACTTTTGGGGAGGGTACTGTGAATATTCCATCTCACAAAAGGAAGCTTACTGCACATCCGTAACTGTTAAGGAGAAGTGGGGG